TTAGAATTCTTTGATAAAAAAAGAGTTTAAAATAACTTTATTTAAAATAGAAATGTATACACTATTCAAAACTTTGGGGTCAGTATTTATTTATTTTTAAGACATTAGTACTTATTATTTATTTAGCAAGGATGTGTTAAATTCATAAAAAGTGATAGTAAACACTTATATTGTTAGATTTCTATTTTTAATAAATGCTGTTCTTTTTAACTTTTTATTCATCAAAGAATCGAAAAAGTATCACAGGTTCCAAAAAAATATTAATAAACAGTTTCAACACTGATAATAAATCAGCATATTAGAATGATTTCTGAAGGATCATGTGACACTGAAGACTGGAGTAATGATGCTGAAAATTCAGCACTGTCACAGAAAATAACTTATATTTTCAAGTATATTAAAATATGAAACCAATATTAGAAATTGCAAAAAAATTTCACAATATTGTTTTTTTTTTCTGTATATTTTATCAAATAAATACAGTCTTGATGAGCATAAGAGACTCCATTAAAAACATTAAAAATCTAACTTTCGAACGGCAGTATATATAATATTATAAACCGGATAGTTCCGGTCCTTGATTCTGATTGGCTGAGCCGTGTTTGAAGCTGTTGTAAATTACTCTACAAACATACACCTTTGTTTACTTCTGTGTGTTGCTCGGCAACCACTTTGTTGCAACCACAACTGTTTCAAAGGAGCTACATTGTTTGGTGGAAGAATACTGTTTTTATTAATATCATTACACTTTATTTGCTCTGTTTTATTCTGTGAAACCTTATAACGTATATGGAATAACCGTTTTATAAAAGCAATAAGCCCTGTGAAGCCGTGGTTTACAGTGAATTTATAACAGCTAAAGTTTTAAAATAAGGGGGTTTTAGGCACTCCGCTTAATTGCTTAAGTAGATTGCTTGTTCAGGTGCCAATGTGGCAGTACGTGATGCGTGTTTTACCTGTGGTAAAGCATAGCCAAGAACTGGATGATGAGCAGAAGGGCGAATGACAGCAGAAACATCAAACTCAAAGGCTCCACTCTCAAGGGGTCTGGTGCCAAAGTTCCGTTAGGATAGTACTTTGGAATATTGATGCTCAGAACGTCAGTGCCAATGGCCTGAAGGAAGAACGTGGCTACAATCCATAGGACATTAATTATGAAGTACAAAAACACTGCCTGCAAAACAGAGAGAATAGTTCTCATTTAGTATATAGAGTTACGGTCCAGGAGCAATGAAGTTTTCGCTTGCCAACCTTACCTTGTTCCGTAGCGACTTTAGCTCCCGTGTCACTTCCTCGAGGTGAGCTTTGTTATCTTGAATGGGTAGTAGATAACGCTCTATCAGTTTATTCCAGAAATCTTGTTCATCCTGGTAAAATAGGAAACATATATATAATGTGGCTGCATATAAAAGACTTTACATTTTGAGTGCAGTCAACCAGTTAATTTAGCCAAATGCATTACTTATCCATTGAAAATCTACTGAAGCTTTTCCCAACATGATTAACCCAAATGAGTCTACATTATTTGTCGATCTTGGAACAGCATTCCTGTCAGCCAGTTAAAGCCAACCTAACTTTGTAAACCAAATTCCTAATGAATTCCTACTCATAACTGGTTTAGTTCCAGGCCCTACCCTTAGCCCTTACCATGAAGCTAAATGATAACATCTGATAGCTCTCATTGCTCACTGAGATTTGAGTAGTTAGGACATACAACATCCTTTGTTGGTCTTACTATAAAGGAACACTATTCCTGTCAACCAGTCAAAGCCAACCATATCTCCATACCCAAAAACAATTCCTGAATGTTGACTACACACAAATTCCCTAACCTTAGCCTTATCCCTTAGCCATTAACATGAGGCTTGACCATGATTTGAACTAGGGATGTCCCGAGCCAATCTTAAAGGGCTAGTTCACCCAAAAATGAAAATTCTGTCATTAATTACTCACCCTCATGTCGTTCTAAACCCGTAAGACCTCCGTTCATCTTCGGAACACAAATTAAGGTATTTTTGATTAATTTTGACAGCTCTCTGACCCTCCCATAGACAGCAATGTAATTACCACGATAATTGGGCCACACGGCTTAGAACGACAGTAATTAATGACAGAATTTTTATTTTTGGGTGAACTAACCCTTTTAGGATCAGGATCGGGGGGCCAATCAAGCATTTTTTTTGCCTGGGTTGCGTATGTATGTGTGGGGCGGAGCTATCAAAATAGGGGCGAGACCCTTTTGGGGTAGGGGCGTGTTTGTTTTGGTGATTTGAAATATCAACATTGGCTACCAGAAATCGCTTACCCCACCTTTAAGTGGGTTTGCCAAACGCCATTAAGAGGAAAAGAAGACGCTGAAATGTGCGTGTCTGATGCACGAGAAACAGTGAGGTCTGATCCAGCACGTCATACACGTTTGAGCTTCCGTGTTCAGTGTATCTGATGTGCAATTTTGTAACGATCACTCATTCATTTTTCATTTATTTCAAGTTCACACATTTACTTTTATCTGCTGTCAGATTATCTGAGATGTCGTTATCACATGTTGCTATTGCGTCTTAGTTCAGACTTGACTGACAGACTGGCATTCTTACACCGCGAGCTTCATGCTTTCTAACCATATCTCCACTTTTTCCCATTGATGTTTTAATTATTTTGCTTATTGTAAATATAAAATAGAAGAAGTTTATATCAGTAGTCCCAGTAGCCCCATATTCTTAATTGTGACCACAACTCTGCATACATTGGATAGATTTTAATAACTTTAATATATATAGGGAGAAGCATCCGGCCCCCCGGAGTGTCCACATCGTCGAACCTGGCCCCCTTTAAAAAAGTTTGGACACCCATGAGGTAAATGTTGATGCATTGATGGGAATGGAGATCCAGGAACATGTCCTACTTGTGTAAATCTCATTAGAACATGAACCATCCAGAAATCATTACCTCAGATAGTTTCTCAACCTGTGGAGCCACAAGGGTTCTTTCGATTGCCCTCTTGACACGCCGCTCCAGTCGCTGCGCTCCGTTCTCGATGCGGTTTGTCTTCACGATGCGCCTGGCGGCTTCGTTCAGAGCATACTGCAGTTCCTCCAGCTGACTCACACTCAAGACGTCCTCGGGACCCACTTTATCCCTCAGCTCCTCGTTCAGGGTGTCGGTGAGAA